TTGTACTGTCGCGTACGGTTCCGCCTTCCGGCTTACAGCATGGCGATCGATCTCGGAAACGACACCTCGGCAATTTCGACAAGGTAATGGAGGAAGTTCGACGAGGAACCGTGTTCGACGTCGCGCAGCAGATGCGAGCACCGGAAGTAGGAGAGCAACGCCCGCAGGGTCCTGCGCAGCTGCGTCCAGATCTGGTGGATGACCAGTTGCACGCGGTGGTTTTCGATCGACGAGTAACACGACACGACCACGTCGTTGACCACTATGGTTCCGGACTGCGTCAGCGGTGAATAGACGCCTGTCTTGCGCTCGTAGGTGATGTTCAGGATCTGAGCCGTCTGTATGAGTCCGTCGTCGGTCACCGTCGCGAGGCACTCGCCCACTCGCACTCGTTTCGCGAACCTCGACTGGTATACCGCCTCGTCTAGTGTCCACGGGTGTAGCCACCAGTAGTCGCATGGGACCACCGGCAGCAGGTGGTTGACGGTCAGCGACAGGGTCCTGTTGTGTTCCAGGTACAGGTTGACGAAGTCGGCCACTTTCGACGCGTCGCGGTGCAAGAACGATTCGACAGGTTCATAGCCGAACCAGTTCACACGCACCTACCACAAAGACAAAGGCTACGCCAGGTGTACTGGTGGAAACAAAGCTAATGCATCGCATGGTGTGACAGACACGTCGAAATCCGACGTATTACAAACGTACATTTCGCTGTCCATACCGGTGCTGAATGAACGAACATTGCAATTCATTACATACCGATATGGACTGAGGCTGTTTTGCTGTTCAATCGAGACCGTAAGCCGTCTTTCTACCACATTACCCGCAAACCTCAGTCTACAACGAAGCTATGAAATGAAGGTAAACGCACATGACATTGCTGAGGCGCCCCTGAGGTGCTGTTGAGGCTCAGAGATATGAGTACACTTAGCGATAATCTGATAATCGGAAAAATCAGATGTACCACCAGTTTGGACCGAAAGACTTAGTCAGAGCGAACTGTAAACTAATTTCAGTCTATACCAGCACGGTCGAATTATCGCTTTGCGAGCGGTGCTATTCAAATTATGAGGTGGGGCTCTTCTTAACTGCTGATTGCTGTTTCCCAAGATCGGCTGCCTCAGACAAAAGCATGTTTCGAACTGCGCATGAACAGGTCACTCACCATGTTGCCATTTTTGATGCTGTCCATTCTTCGACTCCCGTTTTGAGTTTCTACCAGCATGTCCTTGCTGAAGCATCCGTGAAATACCGGCCGCGTTGTCGTGGTTGGCACAGTGGTACTCGTACTTGTG